TAGCTCATTTAAAAAGGTTTTATAAATAATAATGGTCATCATCATATTAATTTTTTAAAAATTATATTTATAAGTTATTTTATCTTAAAAAATTACTTTAAAAAAATATATTTTTAAAAATTTTAAAAACAAAAGAGTCACACATGTTAACCAATAAATCTACAAATTAACCTGTATTTAACCCATATATAATCCATTTGGATTGATCAAGCGGATCACAAATCCAATCCTACTTAATCTTAACTCACTTTTTATGGATTGAGTCAGCATTTAATTGTGAATTTGCCGCCTCTCTACTTGAGAGTGACCTTTTACATGGAGCCAATCAAACTATAGGCTGGAAGTTTCCTGAGTCTAGCCTCTACGTACTATTGCATCCCTGAAATCAGCAGACTTATCCCATATGTCTATTTCAGCATTAAAGCTTGATAGCAACACGTTACCCACAATGTCGTGGCCACAATACCAGTAGAGCTTTTTCCCAACTTTCATTCCCCAGCTCAATAAAAACTTGAATCTTTCAAGCCCTGAAAGAGCCCCAAAGGCCCAAATTAAACAAAACCATCGGGTCAGTGTTGTTGCTTCATTCGATAGGCCTGCCTCTGCCCAATAGATCAACCACACAGGCGTGCTTGTTTACATACCATTAACTAAAACGATTCTAAACTAAACCACACGATCGAGATTGGTGAGAGCACAAGCTGTTTGAACAGCAAAAAATGTAACAAAATTTTAGCCATTAAATAATAGTATAAGAAAACACAAAAGTTTATGTACAATAATTTTAGCGTTAATTTCATGTAAATACTTTTAATAGTTTAGTAAATAAAATTAAAGTTAATCATTATTATTATTATTATTATTATTATTTTGTGTAACTTCAATATATAATTCATTCAAACAATAGGAAGATATCAAAGAAATCCTAATTTTCAAGGAGCCAGCCATTAGATTTTTTTGTGTTGCTTCCAAAAATCATAAACTGCTATCCACAATCCTCCAGTAATCTGTTGTAAATGTATTTAAACTCAGAGTTCATGTGGTAACTTAGATATGTTATTCAACTAGAGGCTTGAGAGTACAGGTGGCAAATGGACGGGTCAAGTTGGGTTCAGGCTAGGTTTACTCGAGTTACGACTTGTATGAGTTGAGTAATATGCAAGTTGTAGGTTAATAAGTACTAACCTTAATTTGACATTAACAAGTCACGGGTTAACTTGTTAGTTAAACCTTTGTTATCTTTGTGTTCTTTTATATGATTAGTTACGTTTTTAATACTAATTTACCAAAATTAAATTATAGTAACTTTGAACTAAAAATTATAAAATAACTATATTTTCATATCTTAATTATCATATTTGTCTCTATTTTATTTGAAAATTTTATTAAATAATTATATAAGTACATAATTAATCTTGCACAATCTAACATATTATTTTTTAAATAAACAAAAATAACCATAAGAAATTGAGAAGTGACATTAATCATAAAAGGAAAATGATGCATCTTGAAGCTTATTTTTTAACCAAACAAACAATATTACTTGGATTATTTTGAATATTTTGTTCTCATTCCACTAATAATTTTTAAAAATATCTCCATTTCATTTTTGTTCACCGGAATTGTTCAAAACACAACTAAAAAATTGAGAGCCTTGACTTTCTTAAATTTGCCATGTAAATGACTAGAAAGCAAATATAAATTGTACACTAGTCATTCGTATAGAAAAGCCAGTAGTAGAAGATAATACATGATTATTTTCTAATTATTTTCTAATTATTTTCTTCTTTCTATTTGATTAATTTCAGAAAAATGATTTATTTTTTGTAGAATATATTTTGAAAGATTCATATAATTTTTTTTGTCTTCTTTACAAATAATCATATATGATATACAATACTTGATTTATGAATTTTAAATTAATATAATTAGCTCATTTTAAAAAGTTTTATAAATAATAATGGTCATTATCATATTAAATTTTTTAAAATTATATTTATAAATTATTTTATCTTAAAAATTTACTTTATAAAAATATATTTTAAAAAAATTTTAAAAACAAAAGAGTCAAACGAATTGCATTTGATTTTATAGGCCCAATAACATTAATCATTGATTAGGTATACTCTTTCCTCCCCTAGGCGGGTTTTGAACCCGTCCCATATAAAAAATGTTCAAAAAAAAAGTCAAATGAATTAACTTATAAATCTACAAATTAACTTGTGTTTAGCTCATAATTCATTTAAATTAACTTAAATGGATCACAGATCTAATCCTACTTGATCTTAACTCACTTTTTATGAATTAAGTCAGGGTTTAATTGTGAATTTGCCGCCTCTACTCGAGAGTGACCTTTTACATGGAGCCAATCAAACTATAGGCTGGAAGTTTCCTGAGTCTAGCCTCCACGTACTATTGCATCCCTGAAATCAGCAGTCTTATCCCATATGTCTGTTTCAGCATTAAAGCTTGATAGCAACACGTTACCCACAATGTCGTGGCCACAGTACCAGTAGAGCCTTCTACCAACTTTCATTGCCCAGCTCAATAAAAACTTGAATCTTTCAAGCCCTGAAAGAGCCCCGAAGGCCCAAATTAAACAAAACCATCGGGTCAGTGTTGTTGCTTCATTCGATAGGCTTGCATTGTCCAATAGATCAAGCCGTAGTTGTTTACATAC